CAAGAAGAATAGCCGGCTCTACTCCAAATTAAAGACTAAAATATACAATTATAGATTATTATTTGTTAAGTTCTTAATATTTATCAGGGTACATATACTTGAATGTGGTAACATCTGTACGTGGATAAATCATGTAACTCCATATCGGCTATACCACATAGTAATTACTCCCGAAACGAGTGAGGATGCTTCGTGGTCCACTTTCGCCTGAACCTTCAGTCAGAGCCAACTACAAGAGATCGTTGGGCTGGATTCGACCATACAGCAGCTTTGTCCTCGTCTGAGTCTCGTCATCAGTCCCAACGGGATTCAACACCGGGTGGTGCGCATTACCACTTCACCACACAGTCGAAGAAAGCCAGTCAATTATGAATTCACATTATAAAAATAACTGTAATGGAATAGATAAGGCAAGCCTGTACGTGTCATTATACTCGACGACATTACTATACATTAATTAGGATGAGCAAAAAATCGTGTAGCGTTGCTGCCTTAAGTGAACTTGACCGATTGAAAGTCACTTTTGTGATGCTAACGAGACCAGTGCGAGAGTCAAATTGCAGTCTAGTAAGGATTATAAGGCTAAGTTTAATTCAATGCTATAAGAAGGTCTATTAATTTCAGTGGAAGAGTCAATTGACCCTCCATACATCATCCCAAGCTGTCCTAGCTGATTCGGGCTCCTGGTCACAAGCTGCTGATAGTGCTTAGATAGCTCATCTGTGATTCATAACTGCCGAATTTTATAAAATTACTTGACTATATAGCAAGATTTATGATCAACTTAGTTGGTATATACAAATGCATTGAATTTAGCGTCAAATGCAAATTTACCTTGGATTAGTAATTTTGGGCAAAATAGAAGGATGTAAGACGAATAATTAAATTAACCAACAATGAAGTATGTACATCTCAACATGCCATGGGATTACGCATAGCATTGATGAAATGACACTGTTTCCTCTTGACGAGAACGACCTGGTTTCTGGTTCCGTTAGGGTTGCTGATACGACCCAAGCGAGTTGGACACGGCAGATGACCCCTGACTAGAAAGCCATTTAACAGGTAAGGTTGGGTGAAATTTATTGGCCTTTACACATTTCCTTGTGGAAAGTTCAACTCTCTCTTCAATGAATTTGACTTAGCCGAATTCTAATTTACAATCTACCCACATATTTTAAACTCACTCAAGTGGTACTCAGGTTATGCATAAACTCAACACACTAAGCATGACTTAAAAGACAGCCATGTTTGTTCATCAACTCACCTATTCGCGCTTCAACTCAATTTTAATATAAAAGTAAGCCTTCTCTAGATGCTCGCAACATTACCTAGAAAGAGGAGCGATGAAGTTAATAGAAGACCTCAATTTCACAGCGAATTTACCAGTACCTTCACCTCCAAAATGGTAGGACAACTTAAATTCAATCTCATATCCTACATGAGTATGGTTCACAATTGCCAATAGTTCATAAATAAGAACTCCTTTTTTTCCCATAATGGTAAAAGTAAGTCTTCCGATGGCATAAAATCTCACTTAGCTTCGCCTCCCAAAAGACTTTCTCATTTAAGGTGTACTACAGTTTTGAACCCCGTCTCGGTCTCATCAGCACACCCAACGGGATTCGAAGCCGGTTCCTGCTTATTATGAGGACACGTCTAGTAAATAATTCCTTTTTTCGGCTAAGTTTCCGGTACTTTGTGCTCTAGAGCCGAGGGACAATCCAACTTCTATCTGTCTACCTGTCCACTTGTATGCGTTTATGGGCAGATTCGTCTGGTTGTCTTGCCTTTCTTTGTCGGATGCGTGGCTCAAATTCACGTCAGGGCAACAACTACTTGACTCCATTTGACCACTAGACTGAACAGGCATCTTCAACTTCTACTTCGAGGTAGGGCCTCAGTCGTCAAGCCGAAATTCCAAACGGAAGGCTGGTCGAACCGACCGAATGCAGAAGCTGCATTTTGCAAGTGTTCTGACCCCACACACCCATCTGCCCAAACGAATGTCCATCAAACGAGCCATCATACCAACAGACCGAAAGCTGCTTGCACAAGAGCTCGCCTTTTCACACTTAGACCATGATTGAGCAGGGGGCCGGTACTTTGTTGTGCAATAAAGTCTGAACGACCGCCTCCCCTTCTTTCGGGTCCTCCGACAGCCAGCATGGCCACGGAAATTCAAGTCACAAGCCCTTCTTCTAGGCCGAGTTCAAATTCCCCCATGTCCATGTTGCTAAGTGGATATTTGATCTAACGGCCAAGTGGCGACTGCGACTCGAGCCGAGCAACCGGACCGTCTGGATTCCGGTAGCTGAGCCCTACCCGCGACCGCTGCATCACCAGGGCGACACACCGAGGATACACGCATGCTTGCCCAAACATCTTCCAACACTCGTGTTCTTCTCTAAGACGACCGCGTGGTCCCCAGACGTCAAATCTAATTGTCGCTAAGCCTGTCTTGTGTGTGTGCGTGTGGACGTATTGCCCTTATTGTGTGTAGCTTGGGGTTGTAGGTGATTAGCCCATTTCCAGGCGTCGTGACACCAACCGCATGAGGATGTGATAGAGGGGACCGGACAGAAGGCCGGCGGACCAGACAGGTCCTCTTCAGGACGTCTTGTCGGCTGTCGCTGTCGCTGGTCCAATTACGTCTTAAGGCTGGCCGTTGTATACTTGCATGTTCCAGCCTCTGAGCTTTACGGTCTGTCAAAACGAGTTGACTGATAGGACGAATTAGCCTGCATTGCTTGACCTTCTGCATGACGAAAAAGACCTCGTTCGAGTTCTGCTGAGGTCTTAGCGAGACCCCTGTCTCGGAAAACTAAAGAGGGGCATCGAAGGTGTGAAGGCCAAGATGTCTCTTTTCATAGTAAAGAAATGGTGTGACTTTGTTTTCACAGCTTGGTCATAGTTTCAGGAAAACCTAGAGGAACGCACCTTGTCCGGAGTCCATAAGATCCATGATAATTTCCTGCATCTAACAGTGGGTGCGCTCCTTTAGATTGCCTTGGCAATTGGACCAAGTTGCGAAAATAAGGTTAAGCCACTTCTAAGGAGGGGTATGTTGAAAAACTGGTTTTCCAAGCAATCCTCGCTACGCATCCTTGCTAAGTCAACGCCTATTCCACCATGAAATGCACTTTTAAAGCCACTAACTTTATGTGCGAAGATTCGTAAAAACACTTATTTGGTCTAGTGTTGGTCAATTTACGAATGGATTCCACCCTGAAATATAAAGTATAACAACACAAGCCTATTAAGGGATTTTTCGAAACCTGGTTTATCTTTATGTCTTAAACTAGACAAAATGCACTCAGTTACACGGTATTGTAGGATCACAGGACTACGCAGATAGAGAAAATGCTACGACGCACGATATACACTGTCTCACAGGCACTCTAAATGTAATGAAATCCACAATTTACACCTTAATCATATGGCCTGCCAAATTAGGATGTGGAAATTTCTATAGGCAGCTTGAAGCTAATTTTTGTCATCTTCATCATTTTGATACCTCTCGCCTAGCAAGACCTTGACTATTTGGGAAACATTCTTGGAGAAAGGGACTGAAATAGAATGTACAACTGGACAAAGAAAGAGGCATTCATTTGAGCCAATCAGACACATTTCTGAGCATAGTCGGCATCGTCGACAGACAAGATGGTGTCTAAAACCGAGCGACAGCTAATCAAAATGATACGATAAAACTGCTGAAATAAGGTCGAATCAACTTTATATGGCTGAAAGAGACTGCAAATACTCTATATCAACCAGTAAACAGAAATTCACCGTGGTTTTTGGCAGGAAATGTCCAGTGACTGAATACGTTATCCTAATACTTTATCAGAGGCATCGAAATTTCCGAAACTAGATGGAGTCAAAAAGGTTACAAACTTTTAGAGTAGGTTAGATAAGATCAAATATGGGTCTGATGATATCAATGCGAAAAACAGCATTGAAAGCAGATTAGAGTTTGGTATGTGAATATTTTAAGCCAAGTCTAAAATAACTTTCGCTCGGGAAACTGGCTTTCATTGGACAAGAATGCAGTGAAGACTTCAGAAGAGGTAATCATCAACGCTATATTTAAAGAAGCCCTTAAAAATAATCACACACAAAATTTTCTTGGATAGTGTAATTTTCTGTTTGGTGGCAGCCACCTTTCGCTATAGTGTTGCTGCGCCTTTATTTTCGCAACTTGATCGGAGCGTCAGGGCGAATTTGTAGAATGTATCTTGTAGTCGTGATGTCCAGCATCGGACTGGTGACTTGATGCATTCCCAAACGTTTGGTCATCGATGGAGTCGACATCATCAGTGAGAGGCGTCATCGTTAGCAGAGGGTTACAATTTATCAAAGTAACAAGTGAAGACAATCCCCTCGACCAATTTTCTGTTCGATGACTGTGGCATAATTCTTCGCCCCTATTTTTTGTTCTATCTTCTATTTCAGCATCCCTTTGTTGAGCGTACTTCCATTTCGGGTGAAAGTGTTGGGTGAAGAGATTCGAAGGTCGGTTCCATCAGAAGACGACGGCGGATTCCTCTTGACCA